AGGGACTGCACTGGATGATAACGAATTGTTAGTGTTAGTAGCAATGATGTCACAAAGCAAGGTAAACTCCTTCCCATACAATTCAGTACTTTGGTATTTGTGCAAAGGGGACCAAATACTTATGCTCAGCATCCTGCTATTAGTGAAAGTTAACTTCCTGACAGAGCCAGACTGACAAGCTGTTGCATTGTATAGTTTTCGTGGTGCCCCTGTTGCAGTGGGAAAGTAGTTGAGGGCTAGCACTCACATGTGTGGTCAGATATTTTGCATAATATTGAAATTTCATTCTTGAGCACGTAAAGGAGTCACTTCTTCAATGGGTCTGAATTTCAAGTTTCCATTTTTGTTTATAGTATCTTACAGCTGAAAAAGGTGAATATATTTGACTCAGATTCTCAGGAGTTGTTTTACAATCCAGAGGCTCGTGTTCTCCCCACCCCAACCCCCAAGACAGGGTTTCTCTGTGTAGCCCTAGCTTTACTATAACGCATTCTGTAAGTCAGGCTGACCTTGAACTCACAGAGATCGATCCTTCTGCCCCTGCCTCCCGAGTGCTAGGATTAAAGATGTGTGCCACCACCCGGCCCAGGCCTGTGTTCTTAGTGACATTTATGTCACAATTGGATGAAAATAGGGTTTTATTTTTTAAAGCACCGTTTATGACAGCTCTTCAACCATGCATTACTAACACTGTGAATTTCACTAAATCTGAAAATATTATAGCCTGAAATCCTGCATTTTTATTCATAAAAATGAGTTTTAGCTTCACAGGAAGAATGAAGCCCACCTGTTATAGCTAGAATGCTTTAATAAATATTAAATTACAAGAAAGGATGGTTTTATTTTAATTTCAAGGCTTGTGGCTAACATCTTCAGGTCAGGGCATATAGCTCAGCTGATACAGTACTTGCCTATTATTTGCACAGCCTTGAGTTCCATCTCTAGAACTACATGAACTGTATACAGTGATACATGCTTGAAATTCCAGCAATTGAGAAGTGCTATAAAGATCGGAAGTTCAAGATCAACTTCAGCTCAATAGTGAATTTAATGTCAGCATGGCTCCATGGGGCAGCATCTCAATAAACAAAAGTCTTCAAATAGTATCATGAGTCTCTCACCTTTTCTGACCATCCTTGTCTTTTGTTGTAATTGTGAGTGCTGGGACTAGTGAGGTAGAACGTAGGAGTTTTGTTGCTGACCAGATAAAAAGTAAAGGAAGCTAAGTGGATAATGAATTTATCTCTTCAGCAGGATAAATACAGACATGTGCTTTTGAAAGAATCCCTCCTCCTCATTTACCTACTCTGTCTAAAAGTAAAATTGTGAACTTGAGGTTGAATTTGAATCACACCAGGAGATGTGCATATCTATTATAAAATTCTCATTTTAGTGAAAGCTAGGATTTAGTTATATCATCATTTTTTTTGGAATGTCAAAACATGCACCCAGGAGAGTTCAGAATGTCTGATGATTCACAGGAGATCCAGAGCTTAATGACTGGGTGTGAGCAAACATGTCAGTGAAGCTGCTCACAGAGTGGAAGGTGCAAACCTGCAATCCTGGAAAGTGAGCTGTGGTGGACGGACCACAGGAGAGCCCTCTACATTTGCCTCTTGCTGTCTGTGACCTTCTGTACCAGAATAGAGCCAGTCCAGTTTCTTACTTCCCTCCAATAGAAGTGACAGACATGGACCATATCTTCCATGCGTAGGCTAAATAAGAGAGAATGGCTTTCACCTTTACTTTCCTGACTCTCTCCTGTGGTGCCTTTGTGCTAATGTTACATGACAGGAACTGAGGGTTGGCTCCAGCCAAGCTAAAGTCTGAGGCCCACAGCTTAGCAGCCTTTTGAACAATTGAATGATGCCAGTCAATATGCCAACTTGGAAGCATATGAGTTCCTAGCCATGACTGATACCTGGATCACAAGATATTGTTAATTCGAGGGTCAAAAGCAAGTGTATATGGTGTTCTGCTTCTACTCTTGTGATGGTTGACACATAGCAATAGAATGGTAGTACATGGGTATAGTATTTTGCTTAAGCCACTATAACAAAATACACAGACTAAATTTACTGCTTTATTCAGTTCTGTAAGTTTGATGTCTACAACCACTGTGTCAGAGGCATATTGCGTGTAATAACAAACAAACAAACAAACCACGCTTTCACCTTTCCCAAGATTGCAGCCCTGAGCTCCTGGCTCCAGGCTTAGCTCCAAGCTACATGCTGGCTCCCTCTCTCAACTTGCCTGGTCCTCCTGCTTAGCTCAGGATTGATCACAACCAACCCCCAATCTGGGAAATCCAAGAGCTGCTGTCCATACTCCACCAGACCCTCCCAGCTTCTCTCTTTCTCTGCCCATCTCAGCTCTGAGGAAGAAAAACACTAAGCAACTTTATTAATGTAGAACTTGTCAGCTAGCACAGTTGCTGTGTGCAGAATCTCCTGCCCTAACCTTCTCAGCTAACCTATATCAGCTAGTCTGTATCAGCCAGCCTCTGCAGACCTCCTCAGTTAATTACCAGAGGTGAGGCTGCAGGTTCTAATTTCCCCAAGATCTTACATGACTGCTGCTTTCTCCTTGTTCCAAAGCCTGACTAGAAAAAACCAACCGACCAACCAACCAACTAACCAACCAACCAACCAATAAAAACCTTTCTCCTTCCTCACATCTCTCCTTGTCCTGGGACCTGGAAGCACCACCTTTACCTTTCACCCAACAATTGGCTTCCGCCTTCTTTATTGACCAAATCCAGAACCAATTAGGGAAACAGCACCTCCCCCTAAAGAGGCATGTCTATCCTGTGACTTCTCACCTTGGCATGTAGATAGCAAACGTGTCCTTCTCTCTCCACACTTTTTCTTGCATGTGTGTCAATGTCCTGTTTTTTTCTTTTTGCATAGACACAAGCCATATTGGATTATTAGAGTACCCTGCTGACCTTGTTTTAATTACCTTTAAAAAAAATCTGTCTACAACTATAGTCACTTTTGAAGGTCTGGGAATGAGGACTTCAGGATATAAAATTTGAAAGGCAAATTTCATTTGCAAGCTCTGTCAATAATCGTTGGCATTATAAAAATTAGTAAGATAGTGTAGTGGCACTTGCCTCTCATTCTAGTGTTGAAGAGGCCAGGGCAGAAGGATAGCTGGAATTCCATGATCCGCCAGAAATTCATGATCATCCTATTCTACATAGCAACTTCAGTCTAGCTATAGAAACAAAAATTAAAATAAGTAGAGGTAAATCTGTAATTATTTTTATCTCTCTGGCTAAAACCATATAAGTTATTGTCTGTAAATGTCTTGTCCTTACTCATTTTCCTTCCTTTATAAGTGTATAATTACACATATTTTATGTTTTATATTTCTGGATGTCACATGTTTAGCATCTATTTGCATATCCTTACCTCGACAAGACAATGAAATTATAAACCTTGTAAGCATATGTCTTCCATATGCTTCACATAAAACACGTGTTTAAGATAATGGTAATAAGTATATTTCTAAAATCTGGTGTAATCTTTTGTGTTTACTTGTATAGTGTTAAATAGCTAAGAATTAGGACTTGCTCAAGGCTTGAAGAATTTCTAGCTATACTGTTTTAGATGGTGTAGATGGCTGTTTGGCAATCCAGAGGCATTGAGGGCCTCTCTATGCACTGCATCCACTTCGTGAACACACTTCTTTTCTCTCGATGTGCATGTGCATGCACAAACAAAGACACACACACATGTGTACACACACATTATTTTTTCAAATACTCCAGGAGAGTGCAACAGAGGTTGACAGTTATGGGCTCACAGTTCTCAAAATATGGGTGCGGGGACCTCCTGGACTTCTCTCAGCAGATGTATAAGGTCAAATGTATTTTCCAACAAAACTAAGAATCTATTTGCCTTTCGGAAACCAGTTGGTAACAGTTGTGTGTAAGTGTTAGCATGTGTTGTGTCATGAATGCAAATGAAATAGCCCAGGAGCAGTTCTGAAATTTGAATATCTCAAGGCAGTGGTGCTCAACCGTAGAACCTGTTTTTGTATTTTTATTCCTCATTTGATAGGGGTCATAAATCTGATTTGTGAGGTTTCAAATTTCCTGTTGCCCCTAAGCTTAAAACAACGACAAGAAAACACTACCATATGTGAAATTTGGGTGTGATATTAAAGCCTATATTAATAGTTATTTGAAGAGACAATCAAGTTATGTCCTTTATATACTTGTAAGGTCAGATGTAAAATGGATCTTCTAGTTTCATCATTATTTTATTTTCCTGAGAAAATGTAGCCTATTTACATATCTTATTTTAAAAAATATGGTAAGCAGGCAGAGGAAGGCAGAGCTGAGCAGGAGATGAAGATTTCTGTAAGTTCCTATTGTTGGAGGAACAACAGTCACGTAGGAATATGGAGAAGAGTTGACCACACAGGAATCACTTTGTTCCTAGGGGTAAACTATAGTGACCTCATGAGCACTGTAACATTTGGATTCCTGTCTCCAGATGTTCATCCTGTACAGATTTACTAATATTGAGGGAGTCCAGGCATAATGAATATTCTAAATCCCAGCACACAAGAGGCTGAGTGAGGCAGGAGGATTGTGAGCTTTAAGTCAGCCTGGAGTACAGAGTGCGAATCTGCCTCACAAAATTAACCGACTCAAAACGCCCAAATAAAATCCAGTACTAAACGAAATGCAATGCTTTTTACTTCAGGTTGAGCCATGGAGTATTGCTGTCCTGTGCCAACCCTACCATGCTCAACATGCTGCTTGTGAATTCTGCTGTGTTCTGTAGCTCAGTCAAACACCAAGCCCATACAAGCTACAGAAGGCACTTTAGGTGGTTAAATGCACCTTCACGTGATCACCGTTTTTATAAGGAATCAACACATAAGTAAGAACCAAAGCTTGATGTCATCTGTATGCTGCCGAATATGACTTACTGATTACTGTTGGCTTTCTTGTAATTTATTTTTGTTATTATTTTTTTCAACAGATCACCAGAAACTGGAAAGGGAAGCTAGAATCTGCCGTCTCTTGAAGCACCCCAATATTGGTGAGGAAATATTTTCAGATATCTTAAATGATATATATTATATGTTCTCTATGGAGTTACAGTAAAAAATGCTCATTTCAGTAACTAGTATATTTACAACTGGTAACAAATAGATTCTAGTCTCTTGATCATGGTTATATTTTATCTAGAAGTTTTCATATACATATAATTATTAAGTCATCCTTTTTTGATACAGTTTGTGAAGCAAAAGTGACAATTTTTTAAAACTTCAATTAGCTTAATCTTTTTGCGTGTGTGGAAATGAGGATAGTAATGAAATAAATGTTGCAAGTTTCCTGTGGTGCTAAAGATTGACTGCATGTTAGCCAATGAGCATGCTGTGTATAATTTAGAAATTAAAATTAGGTAATTTCTGATTATCTGTTATTCACTTTATTTTAGCTACATGATTTGGAGTCTTGATATATTAGCTATCAGTTTTCCTCTGGAAGCCTCTGAAATAAAAAGGATAATCTTTTGCCTAGTTAGGAAAGGAGTTGTAAAAGTAAAAAATCCAAAACAAAAAAATAAACAAAAAAAGCCAAGCACATGCTTTTAAAATTTGTATCTATAGTTTTTCAAGGAGTAGCAATTCTGTAGAGACAGGGTAAACATATATTTAAAGTCATATGAAACGTGAATGAGATCTGGAAAAAAAAAAAGAAAAAAACCTCAATGTTTGGTAATGTTGCGAACCACAGTTTGTATGTGTGTGTATAACTAGGAGTTATCAACTGCTGCTGGTCCAGGATGGAGAGAAGAACGCTCGTTTTCTAATCGGAGGAAATTGGAGTGATTGAGTTTTTGCTTTGCTCAATTTAAGGTCCCTAAATTACCTTACCTGACTCTATTGTATTTACTTCCGTGAAGATCAGTGATTTACAAAGGGCACTAGCAGCTAGCACAGGCGGTGGTAGCCAGCAAACAAGGGATGCCTCAAACAAGAAAGAGGCATCATGGTGGCACAGGCCTTTAATTCCAGCACTCTGGAGTCAGAGGCAAATTTCTCTGCATTCCAGGCCAGCAAGGTTATATAGTAAGACCTTGTCTCAAAACAACAGCAAATGAATGAGTAAATGAATGAATGAATATGAAGGAACTACCTAGAGAGAGTAGCCAGGCGGTGGTGTGGTGTTGGGAGCAGAGCTTCCTGCTGCTGCGTTCACTGGGGCCCTAGACCACACAGGGAAGTCTGGAGGACCCTGGATGCTCCTAATGTCTTACGAGATTCTTAACCTTATTTTATTACTTGCTCTTCATTCCTGCCTTGTTTGTTTTATCATTTAAAACTTGTTATATTTTAAAATTTAAAGAACACAGACACTATTTTTAACAGTTGTTCCCCTTGTGAAGATTTTTCTTTTTTTCACATCCTTTTCTCATTTTTTTTTCCTTTTAGACAAGATATCACTATGCAGGCAGGCTGGCCTGGAACTCATCTCCCCCTGCTTCTCAGTTTTAGGATTAAAGGCACTACCACCAAAGAGTCAAGTCTTGAGAACTTACGGAAATCAAAAGTGTCTTGTTTTATTTTTTTTTCTCTATAGAGAAACATTTTAAATGGACCCACACTGATTCTTTATGAAACAACATTCTTTTCAGTGGTTTTTTTTATTGTAAAAGTAATATGTATACTTGAGAATCATTTTGGAAAAAATATTACGGTTAATTAAGAAACCAGTGGAGGCAGTCTGTAATTTTTGTTTTTATATGTTTCAGACTTTTTATAACGAGTCTTATGCATGGCCACCTTTGACCATTCTCCTGTGTGCATTTTTTATCACTTTGCCCATTTTGTGAGAATTGTCCCACTTAACACATTGACTGGAGGCTAGTGAGCTCTGGGCTAGCAGTGGCCTAGGCTGTCACAAAGGTGAAGAAGCAGTAGTCAGGAGAGGTGATGTCTTTGCTTATTAGTTTTGCACTTGACTGTGTAAACAATAATGCCACAATGATTCCTTCTCTGCTTGTAATTGATATAGGGTAATTAGATATGTGGAAATCAATCAGAATGTGAAAATCAAACAAAAGAGGAGTTAGATACTAGCTAGAGGGGAAGATAGATTTTACTCAGAACTATTGCATTCTGGGAAAGAACAATCACCTTCTACCATGTAGCATGGCTGACAGGATTCTGTAGCCACAGACTGTCCTAGAAAGGTCGTGCGCAGGGTCCAAGGCAGGGCCTTTTGTAAAAGATGTTTCTAAGGTTGGATCAAGGGAGTGTTTTTGTCACTGTGTTAAAATGGCCTGACTTGTAAAATATGACCATGGAGGTCATGTTTAAATTATCAGGAAAACAAAGAAATGTGAACGACTCATGACCCAGGAAGAGAGCAGGTCAGGCTGGAGAAGATGTTCCTTTTCAGGAAGGGGAGGGGAGCTTCCAGAGAGGAAAGGGAAGACTGAGCAGGCCAGGTAGGAGGGCCTGTGGTCACATAGAGCTGCATACATTGGGTTAAGAAGCTTGGCTGTCCTAAGTACAATGGGAGGCCAGGGGGAGAATTCTAGTCTGACTGTCTCCGCCCTCTGTGTGCGAAGCGGATTATAGCCTAGTGCAGAGCACAGTCAGAGATAATTGTGTTTGTGGTGGCACAATTCTAGCAGCACTCGAACAACAGGTCGTTCGGGTTATGTAGTAGAAACTCATTTTTTTTATTTTAATAATTAAAGAAGTATTGTTTGAATCGCTGACATGTCCAGGGTCATAATTCTTTATCAACTCTGGATTCTTGAGGGTCTTAAATTTCTAATTGCCTTTCAAAAGAGGCATTGATGTTTAGAGCTGCTAATTTGGTGATTAGAAAGATGTAGATGGTTTTGTTCTTTTCTGAAACTACAATGAAATCAATGTTCTCTGGTTCATAGCAGTTACTCTGATCATATAAAATAGGCGTTGAATGCTACAGCTCAATTACTGTATACATATGTGTGCATAGCCAAGCTCACCTGTAACCCCGGGGCTTGGGCGATTGAGGCAGGAGGGTCAGGAGTTCAAGTCCATCTTTAGCTACGTAGTGAGTTTGGCACCCTCATGACACACCATCTCAATATAATAAAGTATAATAGGTTAAGTACTGAAAAAATTAATATAGAGCTGTTTCAGAAGGATTTTATGCCTGCATTAGTTTGATGTTTGTAACATCAATGCATGAATTTCTACCTGTTGACAAGTATTGATTTCATATAGAGACAGTCTACACTCTACAAAGAGGTTTTCCCAGGGCTATGCTAAATGCATTTAGGATCTACCTAATTTTATTTTGTTGAACTATATAAGCCTTGATGTGTCTTTAAGAATCATCTAAGTCCAACTTAGATTCTTCCAGTAGAAACTGAAGGTTTCAGTAGTGAAGCGGTTTGTGAAAGGCACAAGGATCGATCTTCCAAGTGATGCTGCTGTCTCCTCTCTCCGCTGCCTCTGTGGATGTGAGGGTCTTACAGCAAACTGATTCTGTGTCCTCCATCTTCCTGGGCTTTGCAACGTATCATTCCTCAAATTTCCACAAGACAATTTACCATTTTTTCTTCTTCTTTTTCCTGTTGGAACAGATTGCTTCATCCTACTTGTAAATTCCATTTTCCATTCTTCTCTGCTGGCACTTGTGTTACAGCATCCTCAGGTCCTGCAGGGGAGCAGTGCATTGAGACACTGTGACTATCACACCAAAATGCTACTGCCATAGCTCAACAAATGAATAAATAACTGTCACCATGGCATTTCTAGCCTTGAACTCTGAATGAAAGTGACACAGAGAAGGCAAGCAGAGTTGAGTAAATCCTTATTTACTCATGCTGCAAGAAAACGAATAAAAATGATAAAACCCCAGGAGTCTTTTTTTTGGGGGGGGGAGGGGATAATGAAAATTTAACATCCTAAAATGTAACCCTTCATAGCTTACGACTTCTTCCTTTAATTATCCTAGTAGTCACAACTTCATTTACACAGAGGAAATAATTTTTACTCCTTAGCTACTTTCTCTAGCTCCTTCAGACAGGGAGAAAGGTCACATATTATTTAGTATAAAAAGCGTTCTTGTTATATGCTTAACTATTATATGGTTAAATTTCACATTTTCAACTTGATTATTTGGTGTGAAGGCTAAATTGTTTCCTATAATAGATTACTCTCTGAGTAATTATCTTTTTCCAACGAATATGAAAAACAGATTTTCTCCTCTTCACAAAGAAATGTTTTCTATAAGCTTCTTATCTGCTCGCTTGCTCAGCCAGCCTTCCTATCTCCTTCCTTCCCTCCTTCTCCTCCTCCCTTCATTCCTTCCTCTGTTAGTTTCTTCTGTCCTTTCTTCTCTGTTCCTTCCCTCCCTCCCTTCCTCCCTCCCTCCAGGCCTCCCTTCCTCCCTCCCTCCAGGCCTCCCTTCCTCTCTTCTTTGTCTACACAGCATTACACCAGCATTATTCCTTTTAGAGTTCTTGACTAAAAGTGAAATTCATCATTATTTTTATGCAGCCCATTTAGTACAAATTCAATCTGAATATGAAAGTTATATATTCAATGGCATTCTAAAATATTTTAAATTGGTAATCTATGCATCTGAATAGGAAGTGACTTGTTTCTTGGTAGATAAAGATTTTTTTCTTTTGCAGTTTTGTAAAAAGCCAGGCTCACTGAGTTACATTAGAAATGACTGGAGTTAGCCAGACATGGTACCACGTAGCTGTAACCCCAGCACTGAGGAGGCTGACAAAGGATGACTGCGCATTTGGGGCCGGCCTGGGCTACATAACAAGATATACCACTACCACTCCCCTCCCCTCCCCTCCCCTCCCCTCCCCTCCAAAAATAGACTGTTGATTTATTTGTGAAGTTGTAATAGAGAAAAAATGTCCTATATTACAAAGCAACAATGTGGTTTAGACTCGGTGAGTAGTGACTTCATCAGCACACAGTGTTTACTGAGCCATTTCTCCTTGTTCTCCTTGCTCTGATGTGTTTCTGTCCTGCTTTGTTTTTCCTACAAGTCAAGCTGGAATCCCTT